TCTATGACTTTTTCTATGTTTCCATTGTTTGCAAATTGATTATTTTGATGATTGCTCAAGAAATGTAGAACAGTGTTAATTCAGTTTTATTTTTAGCCTATATTAAATTGGCCAGGATTTCTCGCTCTTTTCCATTGTAATAATTACACCAACCCAAGTTTCGTCTACAGATGCAATATGCCATGCCAACGAATATCACCTACGTACAATCACCAAGAAGTGGTAAAAAAGGCAGAAACCAACCCATACAATAGATATAAGTTAACTCCAAAAGGAATAATTTTAAGAGTTACTGTGATATTAGGATTTTCCACTGATTTGGTAATAGGACATTATATTGCAAAACATGAATTGATGCAGAAGAAAATCCAATGTAAAATCAGAAAAACCCATTGCAAATAGGCTACTGTACTTCATTTTGACAAATTCAATAAATCACAATTTAAATATTAACAGCTGTTTCATTAAAAAGTAATGTAGAATAATGCATATGGTCTTAATGTAAACAAATCTGAAGAGGCAACTTTAAAGGCTTCTGGGGCAGAGCCCCAAGGGAATTTACCTCGTTCCTCTTTTGATGGCTCATCTACAGACCAAGACCTTTCTTTAGATACCCCTACAAAGTTTCTACGTCCAGCCGTTCTCTCAAATTAGCTATGACAAAAACCCCGTTTTCCTCCATAAGAATAACATGGGATATGAATTTAAAGGCCACTGGGGCAGAGCCCCAAGGGAATTCACCATGTTTCTCTTTTGATGGCTCATCTACAGACCAAGACATTTCTTTAGACACCTCTACCGAGTTTCTACGCCCAGCCGTTTTCTCAAAATAGCTGTCACAAAGAAAAACAGTTTTAAATTAATATATAGATACTAACTTCCCGACAAGCTAGAGACTTGAAACTTGAAACATGGCTCACAAATGGAAGACAATGCATATTATATCATTTAATTTTCATATTTCCCTTGGGCTACGCCCCATGGGCTTGTTTTTATTAAATCGCTTTCTTGCAAATTTTGATACTTCCCGATGAGCTAGAGACTTGAAATTTGAAACATAGCTCATAAATGGATGACAATACAATATTATATAATTTAATTTTCATATTTCCCTAGGACTACGCCCCAAGGGCTTGTTTTTATTAGCTCGCTTTCCTACAAATTTTGATATCAATTTTAAACGAAGTTTCCGATGAGCTTGAAACATAGCATAACATTGATGACTTGAAACTTGAAACATAGCCCACATGTTATTATTAGTAAGCTTATAAATTATTTATAAATTATTAGTAGGCTAATAATTTGTATCTTATTTTCAGTCCAGATATTTAAATGGATTGTTCTTTTTTTGTTGTTGTTTGTTTTGTAAATAATATACACGATGTTTATGTAAACGATGATTAATTTGATGTAAATTAGTGTTATATGATTCTTATTAATGTTTGATAAAAACCACAAATTTTGGCTCACTTGCTCTGGAATTTTGCACGCAGAGTAATTAAATATAAAGTCAATTTTGAAGTCTGAAGTTTTATTAAAATTCCTATACTGCTTTAAGTATTGATATAATTTTGTATTGCAAGTCATAAAAAACATAGAAGTTTGTCGGCCATTTTTTCCCAATTTGAGGAGTGTAGCTAACTGTTGTATGAAACAGAGATTACAGCTTATTTGTTATAGCAATCTGCGGTTGTATACAAAACTAGTATTTTTGAACTTGGTACTAAAGTTCAGAGAGCTCATAAGTCCAGTAACATTAATGATTGACTATTGTAGAATTTTGAACGTATAAATTCACAGTCACTCTTTCTCACGGACTTTTTAAAACTTCTTATATTAGTGGTTTTTAAGCTTCATCTCCTGTTTTAGGTATATCTTATCCCTTTTTTCCTTTCCTATTAATAAATGATAAACATAACATAAAGTATAACACAATTTCAAAGTTCAAACACCAACTCTCAGCCGTCAGGGCTGTGAGAGCCAAAATTGACCACTGCGCGGAGTTGGACATGTGCCGCGAGGGATCCGAAGTGACCACTGCGCGGAGTTGGACAGTCAGTTTTGACAAATTTCTGATCACTGCGCGGAGTTGGGATAAGCCCCTTATTAAGGTGTAAATGCAGAATATTTTATTTTTGTTTTTATTTAAGTCGTCCGAACTATAAAGTTTATACTATTGTAATTATTTGACTTATACCACAACGCGGTGACGGCATCAGGCGTGATCCTTGTTATGTTATTCTGTATGTTTTACGTGTTTTAAAATCATGTCTTCAAACTTTTCTAGATGACGATTCAAATGTTCATTATATAATTCAAAATGTGTAAGTAGTCAAAATAGGCCCATATTATTTAATACTTATAAAAAGTCATGGTTTATTACTTCTTGAATAAAGGAAGGAGTAATTAGTCGCTGGTAACATAAGAACAAATTACACAAACTTCAATCAATTGTAAGCTTTGAATACAAATTTAACAAATAAAAAATTGTACCAATAGTAGGCTTAGTGTTGTTTAACAATATCGTGTGCGTCGGTGCGTCTCAACATAATGTAAAGAGTATGAAACCTGGGTCTAGTCAAACCATCAAACACCACTAACGCACGAATTCATTTTTATGAAACGAAAGTAGGGGCAGGGCACGCGGTGAGATGACATTCACATAGTGTAGTGCGAGTGACGTGTCACCACAGCTAGAGAGTAGTTTTTGCTCAGCTCATTGACCTTTCATTCTGGATATTGTTGTAGTGACAGCGACGCATTGTATACTCTCTCCACTACTCCACTACTCCACTCTCCCGCCCCCTCACGGCCTCACAGCTATCGTCTGATCGTCAGCTGGAGGAGCTGAGCGCTGAGCGGTCGACTGCTCAGTACAGTACTCGTCTACTCGTCTGCGCATGCGTCGAGACTGTTTCTAACCTTTACAGATAGATCGCACCACAAGCTAGCGCTGTTCTCGCGCTCCTTGCCAACAAATTGCTGGCGACAGGTCCACTATGGCTATGAGATGTCTTCTGTAGGTATATATAGTCAATGGTTAAACCCAAGCGTTGAACGGATTAGTAAACACTGCACCAGTGCACCAGCTGATTGTAGTCGTAGTATCATTAAGTGTTGAGTACACGTCGTATATACGGGATGGGAAGCATAATTTTTATTTCAATTGGAGTTCCTGGCGTATAGGACGAATGCAGTACATATTTTGATTGGCTTGGGCTTGAGGGAAGATCATTACCGCAACGATTCAGTAAGAGACCAAGTGATTCGGTGGTCTACTGGTTAGCGTGTTGAGCTGGCAATCTGTAGGACCGGGTTCGAATCCTCTCAGTTGCACTTTCTTTTTGTCTAAGATTTTTTGTTATCAGCAAGTTTGGCTAAGTTATGACAGTTTGATGTTATAATTAAAACATTATAAAAATGATTTAGAGCCATTTATAGTTTTATTTTATAAACATAAGTTAACTATTTTTTCGATTAATTAGTAAACCTTCATTCGATTTTTACATTGTCAGCAAGTTTGGTTAGGCTATTATAAGTTAGGCTATTATAAGTTAGGTTATAATAAGTTAGGCTAGTTTAATTTATAATAAAAATTTTAAAATTGAATTTGAGGCATTTATAGTTTTATTTTATGAACAGAACTATTTTATTTCGATTAGTAAACCTTCATTATAGCCAAATCAGAAGCCAAAACGGCAATAATCAGTAGGCCTAAACTTAACTTATAAACAGAATAAACAAGTAGGCCTAAGTAAACAGGTAATTTTTATTAAACAGTTTTAACACTTTTCAAACCAACAACAAGCAAATTAACAATAACTAATGAAAACTGGAATGAAATTCTTAGTATGTTGACAAATAAAAATCAGAACTTGGAATTTAACAAACATAAGTTAGGCCCTAATGAAAATGTGATCTCAATTTATTTATTGTTCGTGATGTTAATGTTGAATGTACAGTTTTCAAATTTGCCCGACAAAACTAATCCCGATGCAGAGGACACTTCGGAATGTTCTTCGAGTTGATTAGTCTGTTGTAGGCCTAGTACAGGTGCATTTTCTGGTGACTGTTTCTTTCCTAAAATCAGTTGTCCAGTTGCAATCTTTCCGCTAATAGAATCGTCGATGTAGCCTTCAGCTACTGTTGAGCTTTTCCAGCCTCCGTGACGCTTTAACTGTGTCATGTTTCCTCCTGCTTCAACTAACAATGTTGCTGAAGTGCGTCTAAAACAGTGTCCAGTGTACCTTTCGGGGTTAGGTAGATTTAAAAATGTAGCTACTTCAGTTGGGATTTTACCTATTTTATTAACACCTACAGGTTGTCTAATACAAACACCATTAGCATACTTCATGAATAATCTACTGTTGGGTACACCTGAAGGTCTCAATTTAAGGTATTTCCTGTACAATTCCAAATAACTGATATCAAGATTATCGTCGTCCGTTACAGTGAAGACGCGGCTTCTGTTGGTTTTTGAGTCTGGTATTTTAACTATTAAAATTGAACCTTTATCATCTATGTCATCTACCGACATTTTAGCGAGCTCGTCTCGCCGACATGCTCCAGCTATTCCTAGTATTAAAACTACCTTCTTCAATAAGCAAGTTTCATCTGTAATAACTGTACTAATAATTAATAAGTTACAAGGGAACCCGATACTTGGGACAACTTACTAAATTGCATGACAACTCCGACTGCCGTTCCACTCCGCTTCGTGCCATCGTTCCTAGTCGGTGACGTCACTCAGCAGTGCAGCCAACCACACACACAAACTCAATATTCTTCTGGCAATGTAATATAGCCTTATATATTACACTCGCCCAAACTTAAAATAAAACTCTTCTCTATCGGCCTAACCTTTTTCTTCTAGGCTAAGCCAAATCAACAATTTTTTTTTTTTTTTTAAGCTTCACAAAATATTTCAGTAACATTAAATAAACTTTTCTTCTCAAATAAAATAAACATAAAATCTTCTCTCTCTAACTCGGCCTTTTAACTTAAAGGTCGAGCCGCTTCGGCTTTTGCACAGTCCTTTGAGATCTCCGAAGTGATGGCGGGCTGCACTGCTGGCTGGGCTGCACTTCGGGATGCTCGTCTGTAGTGTGCGTAGCTGGAGACTTAGGTAGGCCTACACTCCGTTGTTGTCTTGGTGATGTATTCCGAGTTTCCATGACACGAGGTGATCGCTCTGGCGGAGTTTGTATTTCCACAGCAGACTTGTTCTCAGGGGATTTGATCGGAGACTGCACTACCGGCCTATTGACTGTAACTTCCTCTTCCTCAGTCAACTTACTAGATCTCAAATGATCAGCGTGGCAGAAACGTATTTTACCTCCCAGGACGCTCACCACATAAGTAGACGGACTTTTCCGCTCCAAAATTCTCCCAGGAATCCAAGAAATGATCTCCTGCCATACTGACTTCACAAGCACCTTTTCTCCCTCCACAAAGGATCTGAAACTTCCCTGATGGTTATCGGCTGCTTCCTTCTGCGCCTCCCTCTTCTTATCAATGGCTGACAATAAACAGGGTTTAAGCATTGTCAACTTAGTTCTCGGTTTCCATTGAAGGAACAATTCCGCAGGGGTAACACCAGTGACAGTACTGGGTGTGTTGCGAAATGCAAAGAGGAAATTATCCAATTTATGTTGTAAAGAAATGGTCTCAGAACCACTAGCCATAACCTGTCTTTTAAGGTTCTTCTTGACTTCCTGTACAAATCTTTCTGCAGCCCCATTCGGGGCAGGATGGTAAGGAGGTGAGAGCGTAAACTTAATACCATTGTTGCTCAGAAATTCCCTGAATTCCCCACTAGCAAAATTGGGACCATTATCACTGACCAATTCTTCTGGTAGGCCAAAAGACGCAAACAGCGTACGCAGTTTTTCAATGGTTTTAAACGATGTAGTAGATTTCATGATAAACACTTCTAGCCATTTGCTAAAACTATCAACAACTATGAGCATTTGTTGTCTTGTTAGAGGATCTTCCGCATAATCCACGTGGATGCGCTGCCACCTACTTGAAGCTCTAGGCCACTGACATAATGGCACCTTAGCCACAGCATTCCTTGTGCACTGACACACATGACATGAGAGAACAGTCTCTTCAATGGTTTTATCAATCCCCGGCCACCAAACAAAGCTTCGGGCTAACATTTTCATCCGATTTATTCCGGGATGCTGATCATGCAGCAATTGGATAACGGCACTCCTCAGTTTCTCTGGCACCACTACTCGACTACCCCATAAAACACACTGGTTCTCCACGGACAACTCGTCCCTTCTTCGAAAATAAGCAACCAGCTCAGAATCTTGACTATCACGCCATCCATGCCAAATGAAATCTCTGACCTTTGTCAAAACAGGATCAGTATCAGTAAGTCGAGCGATATCCTTAGCAGTAATAGGATTGAGATCACTCACCAATTTGAAACAGTCAAAGGCCTCTACCAGGGAAGAAACATGAGAGATGTAGTTGGAGTCCAGCTCCAATTGGTCGTCATCAGGTAACGGTAATCTCGAAAGAGCGTCCGCATGTGGCAAGTCCAAGCCACGGCGGTACTTTACTTCAAAACTGTAGGCGGAGAGGATCAGGGCCCATCGTTGAAGACGCGCAGCGGGGACACAGGGAACTCCCCGCTTATTTCCAAAGATTGTCACTAAAGGAGCATGGTCAGTCTGTAACACGACATTTTTCCTACCGTAAATATATTTATGGAATTTTTTTACTCCAAAAACAAGAGCCAAAGCTTCTCTATGCAACTGTGAATAATTTCTTTCACTAGCACTCAAGGATTTCGATGCGAAGGCAATAGGCCTCTCTACTCCATCAATTAGGTGCGAAAGCACGGCACCAACACCTCGTGGACTTGCGTCACAAGTCAAAACTAATGGTCTATTTACATCGTAATGAACTAAGACATCTGAAGACAATACCCATGTCTTACTTTCTTGAAAAACAGAAGAACATTGGGATGACCATACCCACGGTGCATCCTTACGAAGTAAATCGTAAAAACAGCTAAGTTTGTCTGAAAGATTGCAAATAAACTTCCCATAATAATTTATAAGGCCTACATAGGCTCTTAACTCTTCCTTTGAAGTTGGCTCGGGTGCGTTCCGAATCGCCTCCAAAATACCCTCCTGCGGGCTGATCCCTTTGGACGACAAACAGTAGCCTAGGTACTGTACTGACGGCTGTAAGAATTTACATTTAGAATCATTTACCTTGACTCCATAACTTTGAAGACGTTGAAGAACACTCTCCGAGCGTGACAACGCTTCCTCTTGCGAAGATCCACCCACCAGTACGTCATCCAAATATGCCACTGACCCAGGTAGGCCACCAATAATTTTGTCCATGGCCGCTTGAAAAAGAGCCGGAGCCGAAGACAAACCATACGGCAGACGTCGCAAACGCACTAAGCCTTTGTGCGTAGTTAGCGTCAAGAGTGGTTGGGACTCCTCCGCCACAGGAAGTTGGAGATACGCTGCCTCCAAGTCCAAAACTGAAAACCAGCTACAACCTGCTAGAGTAGCAAAAATGTCCTCCGGTTGAGGCAAGGGATAGTGTTCCGACTGGATCACTTGATTAAGGGTTACTTTAAAGTCCCCGCAGAGTCGCACCCCACTTTTCTTCTGAATCACCACAATAGGAGTAGCCCACTGAGAGCTAGTAACGGGATAAGCAATACCTTCAGCAATCATCCTATCAATCTCATCTTCTACTGATTTACGCAACGCGTAAGGAACAGGGCGATATTTACAAAATTTTGGCACAGCATCCTCTTTTAGCACAATACGTGCCTCAACATCCTTAATTTGGTAATTATTTAGATGAGGGTGACCAAGCGTTCTATAGTAAGTTATATATCATTAGAAACTAGATTTTTACCTGAAAATAATGGTGCAAAAATTTTTCTGCTGCCACAAAAACTGAATTTACTACGATTTTTTGAAGTTTATTTTAATGTTTTATATTAGGAACATTGAATCTGCACTGCAATGTTTACACTGTATAATCGAAGTTAATAGCACAATTCACATTTGTATTAATTGATTATATGCCATTTTAATGTAAATATTACCCTCACAACCCACACTTAGAAAGGTAGCCTAAGCTGGCTTAGCTTAGGTTTTGACCATTAACTGTTTTGTCCCATAAGTATTTTGTATTTAGTGTAGTGGCAGTTTTAATAAAATGAATAAACAACAAATTGACACTATTCTAACCTAACCTAACCTAACCAAACTTCTCGTACAGTTTAAAATTTTGTTTATAAGTTGAAAAAGACATGTGAGGTTGGTAGGTTGGATGTTATGTGGACTCGTGACTGTATTAAGTCCTTTGAAGGTAGGTTAGATTAGGGAAGTTAAAGTTTAGGTTATAATGAATCGAGTTGTTGATTTATATTATCTCCAGACTGTTTATGCACTTTGTAAAAAGTACTACAAACACATTAAATAATAATTTCAAAAATGCTGCGCATTTTTGAAATTGTTATTTATTCTGTTAGTAGTACTTTTAACAAAGTGCATAAACAGTCTGGAGATAATATAAATCAACAGCTTGATTCATTATAACCTAAACTTTACCTTCCTAATCTAACCTAACTTCAAAACACTTAATACAGTCACGAGTCCGCATAACACCCAACCTACCCACCTCACATGTCTAAATAAGAACTGAAGTAGTTCATAATCAACGCTCAGTTGAATTTATAAATGCCTCTACCTCCTTGTCCTCTTTGTCAATTCACAGTAAAGTTATGGCGACAGAGACCAGCCAACAAGATGCATTACAGTAATAAACTTTAAAAAATCGTAGTAAATTCAGTTTTTGTGGCAGCAGAAAAATTTTTGCACCATTATTTTCAGGTAAAAATCTAGTTTCCAATGATATATAACTTACTATAGAACGCTTGGTCACCCCCATCTAAACAATTTCCCTTAATTTCACCAGGACCTCCTTTGAACACAGAGGCATACTTTTGTTTCAAACCAGAAACGACTTTAGGCTCATCGGCCTTACCTAGGGTTAGGTTAGGTTCACCACCCTTAGATTTAACACTGCCTGATAGGCTATTAAAATTACAAGTAAAAATAGATTTCCAGTCAAAAGCGATATGTTGTAGCCAACTACGGCCTAGAAGCATAGGCTGGTTCGTACGATCAATCTTAACGACTATCATAGGTAACTGATAAGTCTGGTCCATGTAGGTTACTTTGACTAAAGCTTGTCCAATAACATTGACTTCATTGCCTGAATATGTAAGCAACTTGATATCTACGGTACTCAATTGTACATGAGGGAAATATTTGTTAAACAATTCTTGAGGGCACACAGTTAGTGCCGAGCCAGTATCAATTTCCATTAATACGGATACATTCTCTATTTCTAGGCTTACCTTAAAGGCAGAAACATTATCACCAGAATTCATACTGTACAAAGACAAACTTTCAAACTTCACTTCATCTAGACCATCACTAGGCCTAGGCCTATTTTCCTCTTCCATCTGATGGATTTTAAATTTACCACTTTTTATGGAATTTTTCACTGGATTTTCTGATTTGAACCTGCAACCCTTACTGATATGACCCAACTTTTTACACCCATTGCACTTGTAATTACTATACGGGCAATTATTAGCCCTATGCTCTGGATTGCCACAACGAAAACACTTATTAATCTGAGACATATCTCCCTTCACATCACTTGAATTTGATTTAGATCCCGCACTGTGAAAATTTGAACCTCGGTTGGAAACACGTGCATTCTTCTTGACCTGAAACCTGGAAATTTCCTGAACACATCTATGATTCATCTATGATGCATCAATGATCCATCTTTGATGCATCTATAATGCATCAATGATCCGCATCTATGATTCATCTATGATGCATCAATGATCCATCTTTGATGCATCTATGATGCATCAATGATCCATCTTTGATGCATCTATGATGCATCTATGATTCATCTATGATGCATCTATGATTCATCTATGATGCATCAATGATCCATCTTTGATGCATCTATGATGCATCAATGATCCATCTTTGATGCATCTATGATTCATCTATGATGCATCAATGATCCATCTTTGATGCATCTATGATGCATCAATGATCCATCTTTGATGCATCTATGATGCATCTATGATTCATCTTTGATGCATCTATGATGCATCTTTGATGCATCTATGATGCATCTATGATTCATCTATGATGCATCAATGATCCATCCTTTGATGCATCTATGATGCATCTATGATTCATCTATGATGCATCAATGATCCATCTTTGATGCATCTATGATGCATCTATGATGCATCTATGATGCATCAATGATCCATCCTTTGATGCATCTATGATGCATCTATGATTCATCTATGATGCGTCAATGATCCATCTTTGATGCAGCTATGATGCATCAATGATCCATCTTTGATGCATCTATGATGCATCTATGATTCATCTATGATGCATCTATGATTCATCTATGATGCATCAATGATCCATCTTTGATGCATCTATGATGCATCAATGATCCATCTTTGATGCATCATAGATGCATCAATGATCCATCTTTGATGCATCTATGATTCATCAATGATCCATCTTTGATGCATCTATGATGCATCTATGATTCATCTATGATGCATCTATGATGCATCTATGATTCATCTATGATGCACCAATGATCCATCTTTGATGCATCTATGATGCATCTATGATTCATCTATGATGCATCAATGATCCATCTATGATGCATCTATGTTCCATCTATGAAGCATCTATGATGTATCTATGATGAATCTATGATGCATCTATGATGCATCTATGATCCATCTATGATGCATCTATGATGCATCTATGATTCATCTATGATGCATCAATGATCCATCCTTTGATGCATCTATGATGCATCTATGATTCATCTATGATGCATCAATGATCCATCTTTGATGCATCTATGATGCATCTATGATTCATCTATGATGCATCAATGATCCATCTTTGATGCATCTATGATGCATCAATGATCCATCTTTGATGCATCTATGATGCATCAATGATCCATCTTTGATGCATCTATGATGCATCTATGATTCATCTATGATGCATCAATGATCCATCTTTGATGCATCTATGATGCATCAATGATCCATCCTTTGATGCATCTATGATGCATCTATGATTCATCTATGATGCATCAATGATCCATCTTTGATGCATCTATGATGCATCAATGATCCATCTTTGATCCATCAATGATCCATCTGCGAGTGAACGTACATACAACCGTGAAATTTGGATTAGATTTTTGGAAAAATGCGAAGAAAAGAAAGTTCCACTTGAACTGGTGGTCTATCACGAAGATATGAACAACTGCACAGTTAGAGAGTCCCATAATATTATTTCGAGATTTAGACCGTTTCCGGATATTTTTGGTAAGGTTTTACCATTGCGCAACCTTCATGGTAGCATAAACTTTACCCAGATTTACCTTCGAATGCTCGAATACGGTTGCAATATTCCCTATGCAGCAAGATGTATAGTATTGACTGAACGGACTCTACCAATAAGATCACCTCTGACGATTTATAAAACTGCGATGGCTTCGAAATGCCATATCGATGTGAGTTATAATGTAGCATATGGTCCGGTACCTCCGGGATTACCGATATCTCGTGGTAAACCTTATGCCGGGGTAAACAACTTGTGCCAAGGACTGTTTACAACAGAATTTCTAAAGGCTGCGTTGCCAACTTTACAACAATATAGCGAACGTTTTGGGATAAGTTTCAATAATGGTGTGTATACGATAACTGATCGTCAACTGTTTGACCGGTGGCGTGAATTTACTGGAGCGAATCCAAGTGAGTTTTGGTTATTGAACTCGTTTCTGTTACACCACAATGAGATGAAACGTCCTATGTCTTTTTTGCAGAGGTATATGGAAAAAAGTGACGTTAGTGAGCGGTATACCGTAGCAGAAATACCACAATGGAGAGATGATTGGAAAAGAACGTTTGTTTTTCGGAATTGGTCAAAAAGGTACACTATTCCACAATTTGATCTAGTGACAAAGAGATACTACCGAGATATAGATATTACTTCAGGGATATCTTTGAAAGAAGTAGTGCACTACCTACGTAAACATAAGAAACGTGCACTATTTTTTCGGCAAATTGAATTGCCTTAAGAGGCTAGCTGTGGTGTTTCAGGCTCATTATCAAAGATGACGCGGAAGAATAAACATCTCACCCTGCAAATAGCAGAGTTGAAAGAAGCAGTTAGGCGTAAATTTAGACAGTTTAAAGATGGCAGTGTGGAGAGCTAAAAACTGCTGGAACAGCAATACAAACCGTTAATTAGAGAACTGAAAAAAGGCGAACCGAAAACAGATGTTAAAATTGAACAGCTTTCTAAAGAAGAGCCAATGGACTATGAGAGCGATGACGATGATTACATTGGTCAACCGTTTAAACCAGAAGCCATATCAACACCTAGAGCTGAAACTAGTCAATTGGAAGAGGTTGTTTCGTCTCCATTAGGCTTTCAAACAGCATCCAAGTACATTGAAGAGCAGTTTGAGAACCCGTTAACTAGAAAATACATGACCCAGTTTATACGAGACGCCGGTGGAAAACATAGAACTATTGACCACGACTATGGTCCGAGGTTTGATGAAAGAGGAAAAA